CAGGGTTCCTCAAGCTACATGGTCTATTGCCTTCTCCAAGTCCACAAAGCACATGTAGACTGGTTGGGCAAACTCTCACGCACCCTCCAGGACCCTGCTGAGAGTGTAGAGCTGGTCCAATGTTCCACGATCAGGACAAAAACGGCACTGTTCCTCCTGAATCCGAGGTTCAACTATTCGACCCTTCTCTCCAGAAACCCTGAATAGATCTCACCAGGGAGGCTTAAGAGCGTAATCCCACTTTAGTTGGAACACTGCGGTCCACCTTTTTGAATAAGGGAACCACCACCCCGGTCTGCCAATCCAGGGGAACTGCACCCAATGTCCATGCAATATTGCAGAGTCATGTAAGCCAACACAGCATTACAACATCCAGAGCCTTAAGGAACTCTGGGCAAATCTCATCTACCCCCGGGGCCCTGCCACCAAGGAACATTTTAACCACCTCTGTGACTTCAGCACCAGAGATTGGTGAGCCTGACCCAAAGTCCCCAGGCTCAGCTTCCTCAGTGGAAGACGTGCTAGTGGGATTGAGGAGGTCTTCGAAGTACTCTGCCCACTGACCCATGACGTCCTGAGTTGAGGTCAGTAGAACACCATCCCCACTATAGACAGTGTTGGTGGAGTACACCCCCACCCCCCACGAGATGCCGGACGGTGGACCAGAATTGCCTCGAAGCTGTACTGAAATCATTCTCCCTGGCCTCTCCAAACTCCTCCCATGCTAAAGTTTTTGCCTCAGCGACCACTCGAGCTGCATGCCGCTTAGACTGCCGGTACCCATCAGCTGCTTCCGGGGTCCCAAAGGCCAAAAGGGCCTGATAGGACTCCTTCTTCAGCCTGACAGCACCCCTCACTGCCGTTGTCCACCAACGGGTTTGAGGGTTAACCGCAACAGGCACCAACAACCTTGTGGCCACAGCTCCGACAAGCCGCCTCGACAATGGAGGCACAGAACATGGCCCACTCGGGCTTAATGTCCCCCACCTCCCCCGAAACGTGTTTGAAATTCTCCCAGAGGTGGGAATTAAAGCTCCGTCTTACAGGAGACTCTGCCAGACGTTCCCAGCAGACCCTCACAATACGTTTGGGCCTGCCAGGTCTGATTGACATCCTCCCCCACCATCGGAGCCAATTCACCACCAGGTAGTGGTCAGTGTACAGCTCCGCCCCCCTCTTCACCCGAGTGTCCAAGACGTGGCCACAAATCAGATAAGATGCCAACAAAGTTGATCATCAAACTGTGGCCTAGGGTGTCCTGGTGCCAAACGCACATGTGGACACCCTTATGTTTGAACATGGTATTCATTATGGACAATCCATGCTGAGCACAGAAGTACAATAACAGAACACCACTCAGATTCAGAGCAGGAGGGGCGTTCCTCCCAAACACACCCCTCCAGGTCTCACTGTCATTGCCCACGTGAGCGATGAAGTCCCCCAGCAGAACAAGGGAGTCCCCAGGAGGGGCAATCGCCAGTACCCTCTCCAAAAAGGGTGGGCAATCTGAACTGCCATTTGGTGCATAAGCACAAACAACACAAACAACAGTCAGAACCCGTCCCCCCACATGTAGGCGGAGGGAGGCTACCCTCTCGTTCACTGGGGTGAACCTCAACGTTGTAGATGAACATATCCTGAGATATTCACCTGATTAAAACGGATTCTTTCATTTTTCTGGACTGAATATAAACGTGCATTGAATTTAATAAAATGTAACGTGAGACGTTATTTATCTTTGACCCATCAAAATGAATGTGGTCATTTATTTACAGAATCAAAGTTTAACATCAAACATTTACATTAATTTGGCAAAATATGAAAATAACAACATAATTAATCAGCAAGCTGTACAATTATGATCAACCACACGGCGGTGATTGGAAGACTTTACACAGACATTTCTAAAATATCTGGAATGATTTCTACTTGATAGAAGAATTTAAAGATGGAAAATGAAGTTTAAAGGGAGTAAAAGATGGTGTGTGAGGGAGAGTGTTGACCAGAAACGACACTCTCCATTCGAACCCAGCTTTCCTCGGTACGCTCGGTAGTGAACTTGACTCGTTACCTCTCTGAAGATGAATCAGCGGATACGGAGTTCCAGTTAACGCTACCTGTCCAGCGTCTCCATAGGATGGCTGTGACTCGTCCGAAGTAGTGACGATATTCCGTCTGACACAAGTTCACCTCAGCCAGTGGACCTCACATGAGTGGGGTTCGTCCGAGTTCCACTCAGAGGTGGAAGATGTTATAATCCCAATCTCGGAAGAGCCTTATCATGGCTGGACTTCTGTTCTCCCAAACGACTGGAGCTGCAAACTCTCCAGCCCGACTCCAACGGCAACTCACAGAACCTAGAGAACTAGGAAGTACCGACATTTTAAAGGGCTCTATTTCCGGTTCATTTGGGAGTCCCTGGTTGGTCAATGTCGACCAGACAGTGGTGTGTTTTGTGACGTAAAAGGTTACTAGAAGTCAGAAAACAGCAAGAATGTTATGGAACAGATTGAAACTGTTTTTCAGACAGGCGAGAGAAATGTTTGGGCGAGTTTGGAGAAACAGGTGCCAACTTCTCTGTTTACGTCTGAGAGGATTTAAAAACAAGACAGTTGTTCCAACACTTGTCTGCTTCGGCTCCGACCTTGGAACAAACGTACACTGCTCATTCAAAGACAGAAAATCAGAAAATGCATAATTACTCTGTAACAGGCCTTAACATGAATTCTAACTTTGCATGAGGATTAAAAAATCATTGTTACTGTTTTCACAGTTAATTAAAAATGATTAGTTCACTGCAACATCTAAAATGGTTTGAACTAAAACACTTTGATTATCAAACATTTGTAAAACAGTAATGATAATAGAAAAGAGAGTGTTCTTTCACTTGAATTTTCAAGAAAGAAAGTCTCAGGATGGGTGAACCTGTATTTCTGGATTCAAATCAATGAAATGACAGTTTCTGTCCCACAAGGTGCCTAAGTTCAAGGTTTCGACATCAGGCCTAGTCCACTACAACGTACAGGCACCAAGATGGGGGGCAACAAGTATGCTCACTCCTGCTCGGCGCCTCTACCAGGGGCAACTCCAGAATGGAAGAGTGTCCAACTCCTCTCAAGGAACTGAATCCAGAGCCAGAGCCATGTGTTGAGTTTGACTATTTCTAGCCGGAACCTCTCAACCTCACACACCAGCTCAGGCTTCTTCCCCACCAGAGAGGTGACATTCCACGTCCCAATAGTCAGCTTCTGTAGCCGAGGATCAGACCACCACCCACTTTCGGACACCACCCATCCCACATTGCATCCGACCCCTTTGTCCCCTCACACAGGTGGTGAGCCCATGGGAAGGGGGACCCATATCTCCTCTTTGGGCTTGCCTGGCTGAACTCCATGGGTGAAAGCCCAGCCACCAGGTGCTCGCCAGCGTGCCCCACTCCCAGACCTGGCTCCAGAGTGGGGCCCCACCCGCATCCAGGCGAGGAAACATTGTTTCCATATGTGTTCATCATAAGGGGTCTTTGGGCTGCGTCTGGTCCCTCACCTAAGACCTGTCTGCCTAGGGTGACCCTACTATGGGGCATGAAGCCCCCGACAGCATAGCTCCTAGGATCATTGGGACACTCAAACCCCTCCACCATTGTACGGTGACAGCCCAGGGAGGGGTTCATGTTGTTCTATGTTCAAAAACGAAAAAACAAATAAAAACACTTTTGTTTAAGAAAAAAAAAATAAAACTTCTTAATCTTTTCAAATGACTTCATTGCTGATGGAGAGGCATTAACAAGCCTGAAGTTAGTCACTGCAGTGACTGAGCAGTCTTGGTTTCCAAAGCCAAGGAACCCGATAAGTCTGAAGAGACACGTTGATAACAAAAACAAAGATGTCTGCCAGTTGCAGGGCTCATTGTCAACATGCACTTTTATATATGAAGGTGCATTTTTAAAAGCAGAACTCTACCTGGTAAAATTATTAGTACTGAACAAATTTTAGTTTAAATCATTTTATAATCACTTTTAAAACTAATGATTTTACAGAAAAGTTTTTTACGTTCAAACATGTGCCTTCAGGGATCATTGCTCCAACAGAACGATGACAAACACACTGGAGCCTACAGCCTTGTGGATTTCACTTAAAAGCTGACTTCATGCCAAAAAGCCAACAATTTAAATGAACTCTACTAGTTCTGCCAAGAAGAGTGCCCAATAATCTCACTAGAATCATGACAGGTGCTTGTTGATGGATACAAGTGTGGTCGAGCTGCAACTCATGTTGCATGATCGTCACTGAAGGCTGGAAACTAGTTTGATATTTACACCCAGGGGTGTATGTAAACTTCTGACAACTCACAAGATCTATTGCAAATAAAAAGCTGGCCACCCCTGCTACCGAGCAATGTTTTAACAGCAAAGAAAGCTCCCTTAAAAGATCATTTCTAGCTTTTGTTTACCGCCCACACACACTTGCACTCCATATGGAGCGAAGCAGCATCGAGTGTCACGCCTGCTCTGAACAATACGCACCCAGAGTACCTTTGTTAAACTCTTCCAGAACGCTCCATCTCTTCTCTCCACTTCAGGTTATTCCAAAACAGAATTTCTTCATCCGTGGTGCTCTCCGATGAGACATCTTTAAGACATCTTTAGTTCTAACTCAAAGCTGGTCTCCGGTTCAGGTGAAGCCTCCCACTCAGTGCCCCTCTCCCTGACCAAACAGATCCTTGTTAATTTTTAATGCTACTGTTGTGCTTGTGTGCGTGCATGTGAGTCAATGGGGCGCACTCTGACTTGGAACCCATACACTCAGAGAGAAAACTGGTCCATTCACCTTGAGGCATTGGAGACAATGAGACCAACAGCAGGGCAGCGAGGATGGAGACAGCGAAGAAGACCCTCCCGTCTACCGTACGGAAACACAAACCCAACAGGTGCTGACATGACACCTGGTATGTTGAAAGTGTCTCTCTAAAACACAGACGAGAAAATAATAAATAAAAACCCACTTACATTTATTAAAATGTTTTAAGGAATTTATTTCTTTCTAAATCATCATATTTTAATCAGAAGGGCAACAAACACCATCTCCCGTCCAGAATTGGATCAATAATGTTCCCTTTCTTCCATTTCCTGTTAGAGGTCTTGTACAAAATAAGGACGTTAATCATTTTCTTATAACTATTGAAGAGTCAGAAGCTTTTATTTCTTGACTATCTGAATGACGTCTTCATGCTCCATCACATGCGTTAGGCCCACTCTCTGAGGACTGTACTTGGTGCTGGTTCCCTGGAAAGACAAAACAAAATATAAAATAATTTACATGAATAAAAATTAAAATCTCAGTAAAAAGGTTTTACTTAATGACCTGATCACCTGCAGAAAAGTTTTTACATGTCCTGAAATCCTGAAAGCTACTAAACTGAAAATAGTTATCCAATAGGAGTGTAGCTTGGCTAAATAACTATTATGATGAAAACTGTCAGTATGTGCAAAAAATGTAAATGTGAATTATGAGTGGGGTCCCACAAGGCTCCATACTGGGTCCTTTTTTTTTTGCATATTATTTGCAACGCATCAAAATTGTTGCAGTTTTTTTTTTTGTTCATGATGGTGCATATTTATTGAGGCTGCCTTCAAGTCCAGGAAATTGGCCTGCTTAAGTAAAAAAAAAAAAATCTCCTGTCAAGCATGGCAGTAGTAGCATTGTGCTGTGGTACTGCTGCAATGCACAAAGAAGTGAAAACATTCCTCCCCAAATATATTTCAGAAAGTCTGTCGCTGGGTAATAACTGATAATTACTTTTTTTTGCTGTCATATCAATCGTAACCTGTTCATGTCATCAAAAAAAAAAAACATAAAAAACCCAAAAACCAAAACCAAAAACCCTGTGAAAAACCATATCATGTTGCTGCTGATCTGTTTCATGTTGCTGCTGATCTGTTTCATGTTGCTGCTTATCTGTTTCAATGTTGATGTGTTCATGCATGCACATCTGCTCACAGACTCATGTTCATGTTTGTGCTGATGTTCAATGTTTTATGTTATGAGTGCTTAGTGTATATTTAGTTGATGCATTTCTTAGTTCATATCTTAGATGTTATTACTGTTTTTCTTATGCATTTTATTGTTGGATGTAACTGGGACCCTGTGTACATAATTTCGCTCCACCACATGTACCACATGAGGTGCGAATGACAATAAAGAAACTCTGACTCTGACTCTGAAAAACAACAAACAGAATGAGCTGGAAGTTTAGACAAGGGCAAGGTTTTTCTTTCTTCTCGGAGCAAGTTCTTTCGTTTGTCCAATAATGCATTTCTGTTACTTAGAACGACTGTTTGTAGAAAGCCGTGAACATTTTAATACACTGAAAAGCCTACTTCTGTTTCTACTTTTAAAGATACAACCTTAACACTGGATTAACAGAAAAAAAGCTGTTTAAACTGGAGTAAAAAGATTTCAGATGAATGCAGCCATTTAAGTATTGACATGAATACAAAATGACAACTCGACTGTACTTACCCATACCAGGGCATATTTGAACTGACTGACTAAAGTTCTGTGGACTCTGTGGCACTGTGGGAAAAAAACATATAAAATGTAAATTCTCTAAATAGACACTTGTGTAAACAAATATTCCAAATAATGCATGAGTGACCAAACGTGTTGCGCTTACCACGTGTTCTACAGACGCTCCTCTTCTCATGATGATGGCATCCTGAAAATCTGGGCGCTCTAACAGAGGAGGAAGTTAGCACAAGATTAATTATGAGATCTGCTAACTATCCATGAAAATAAGGACTGGATAAACCAGGATACCTCCTCTTTTCTTGGTATAAAGGCAAATAAGTGCCAAGTATTCCCACAGCCTCTCCAGGAGATAATCCAGGTTCAGTTTCATTCCACAACTGTAGAAGAAGAAGTTGTTGATCTTTTGCATACAGAGCATCAAGGAGTATAAGACTCGTATTATCTTCATGCACACAGATATCTGACCTGATGACAACACTGTGAGGCCTGCGTGCCAGGCGGTCCACCTCCTCGATGGAGATTTGATCCACTTTATTGTACACCTGAGTAAACACAAAAAGTGTAAAACAAAACAAAACAAAAAGCTTAATTAATTATGCACAAGACAAAAATGATTCATGCCATCTGGTTTACTTGAAGCAGTTATGACTGATAAATAATTTTGCACTTGGGAAAGTAAAATCAGACACCTTAAAAAAGTTTTAAAAAAAACCATTAGTTGTGGGTAAGCATCTTTTGACGTACATATAAGCAAGGCATATAAACTCTGTTTCCCACGATGACGTCAATGAACTCGTCTGGCGTGCTGTCCTCTCTGAACAGGACTTCTGCGTTAAAGATTTCTGAGGGAGAGCGGTTAAAGAAAACAACCACTGAAGATTTAATTCACCAACAACTGATCTGAAAAGGAAAACACAGAAAAGTTAAGAAACCTATTGTGCTGGGAGAGAAATGAGATCATCCGTTTAATTTCCTCTGGGAGGTAAAGGATACTGTACTCATGAAGAATGAGCTGAACCAGCTTCTCTGAGCAGTGTGTGAGAGGAACTGTGGAGTTGTAGGAGAGACCACCGCCTTTTTTAGGCTACAACAAACAAACAAAAAGAAATTAATAATAATTAATTAACTATTCAAGTAACTTGGATATATTTGATAGATCTGCACGTGAAGCCAATTAAATCAGAGGTGTAAAAACTAAACGGAAACTGTACCTTGAAATAAATGTTTGGTTTCGTCCTGTTCAGTCTAATGCCCACTGACTCCAACTCTTTCTCAAGAAGTTCTCTTAAAATGAGCAGATAAATAAAAAGTAAGTCATCAAGAACAATCAAATGTATTTTAAACTTAATCTAACTCGTCCATGCTAACTAACCTCTGGATGTCTCCTTTGGTGGCGTCCAGCATCATGATGACGACGTCTGCTGTCCTGGCAACAGCGATGACCTGCCGACCTCGACCCTTTCCTATAAAGAGCGTTGCAGCTCTGTTACAGGCACCACTTAAAGACAAGATGACTTGTCTATAGTGTGAATGCCTTTAAGCATTCACAATATAGAGAAGATGACTTGTCTATAGTGTGAATGCCTTTAAGCATTCACACTATAGAGAAGATGACTTGTCTATAGTGTGAATGCCTTTAAGCATTCACAATATAGAGATCCATTTTTTCTTCCGTACGTTTTTCGGAATCCAACTACTCCCGCAGTATTTTGTGCCATTTCAACAAATCATATATCAAAACGTTCAGCTGTTTCAGGACATGACTGCTATGACTTTTGGTATTGATGCAACTTTAGCTTTTTGAGATATTTAGCCTTTTCTGCCATTTTCTTCCCCATTGACAATGAACTGAGCTCATTTCACATCTTTCATAACTTTTGATCTGTTTACAACCTTTTACTGCTACTTTCACATTTAGATCTGGTTAAGCTTCTTTCAGCTTCCTCATGCAAATAAAAAATTAAAATCTACTACTTTAGCTAATTTTAGCTGTTTTTTCAACTGTTTTGTGCTCCTTTCAGCTTTATTCAGCTTAGTCCAACATTTTTGTGCTTCTTGTAACTTATTTCTGTGAATACCAGTTTTTATGCTCCTTTCAGCGTATATTTGCTAAATTCAGCTATTTCTGCAAATTCAGCTAAGGTTTAGCTGTTTTTCTGCTAATTTAACCTTTTTCAGCTAATTCCACTTTTTTTTTGTTTTTGTTTACCAGTAATCATTTCAACTTTTTTCAGATTAATTCAGCATATCTATGCTCTACCCTTTTCCTTCAGGTAAATTAAGCTCCTTTCTGCTTGTTTTAGCTACTATTCAGCTGTTTTTGGCAAATTTCAGCTTTTCTCGGATAATTTCAACTTTATCGTGCTAATTTCTGCTTCTTTCAACATTAGTGGGCACAATTAAGCGCAGTTCACTTCATTTAGGAAACTTAAGCTTCTTTCTACATTTCTTTAGCTACTACTCAGCTGTTTTGGGGAAATTTCTGCTTTTTTCATATAATTTCAACTTTTTTGTGCACATTTCTGCTTCTTTCAGCCATAGTGGGCACATTTCTGCTCTCTTCACTTCCTTCTGGTAATTTAAGCTTTTTTCTGCTTGTTTTAGCTACTATTCAGCTGCTTTTGGCAAATTTCAGCTTTTTGCAGATACTTTTAACTTTATTGTACTGATTTCTGCCTCTTTCAGCCTTAGTGGGCACAATTCAGCTCACTTCACATCCTTTTGGAAATTTAAGCTGTTTTCTACATTCCTTTAGCTACTATTCTGCTGTTTTGGGGAAATTTCAGCTTTTTGAAGATAATTTCCACTTGTGCTTTCTTCTGATAACTTGGGCTTGTTCTTTCTTTTCAGCTAGATTTCTGTAAGTTTTTAGCTAATTTCAGCTGTTTTTCAGCAGGATCTTAAGAAAGAAGCATTCACACTGCATTTTTGCAGGAAATGTAAATTCTCTAGTTCCAAGTTAAAGCACTTTAAACTCCAATACATTCACACAAATACGCTTTTAGTTTTACATTGACTAATTTAAAAGTGTTTATTGTCTTATTAACAGATTTGTACATCAAAAAAGTCACATTAATGTACTACAGATTTCACTTTAGCCCACAAAACAAACACATGAAGCCTAAACTCACCTTGGGAGGCACCCTCAATGATTCCTGGCAGGTCGAGCAACTGGATGTTGGCTCCTTTGTACTGAACAGCAACAAACAACAGAGTAAAAACTTAAATGGAGCACTAAGTAAAAAAACATCCATTATGAACACACACAGTGGTATAAATACAGGTACCTCTATGACACCGGGTATACAGGTGAGGGTGGTGAACTCGTAGGATGCAGCTTCACTGGCTGTTGCTGTCATCAAGCTGAGAAATGTGGACTGCAAAAAAAATAACAAGAGATTAAATTAAACAACTATGAACTAGTTTAGATTTGAGTTGTTTTAAAACAGCAGATCTCAGTGGGACTAGTGGTTCGCTTGACAAACTGGTCAGGATTTAACTTTATCGCTTCAAACCAAGGTTGTTCAAAGAACCATCTACAGCAGGTAAGATAATTATTCATAACCTTTCCATAAAACGCCATTTAAAAGATCTGAACTATTGCTTTAAGTGACAGACACGTCAACATACGGTATTGATTTATTCCTTCCTGGATATTACTATAAATAATTTTTAATGTGTTGTTGTTTACATCAGAATGCAAGCAACATTTTAACCAACATAATTTACAAATTAACAGAAGGGTTCTTAGACTCATTAAAAATGATTCAAACAAATTTCAACGTGCGTTACTTTTATTTAGATATTAGCTCTGAGACGTATGATATGATAGAATAAGTGCCATAAATTGTTTTAAATGATAAAAAAAACTATTGTTTCATGTGAAACTAATACAGACAAAGCAAACGTTGCTGACTTGACAGGCTGTTTTAACATTTGGTTAAACTGTTAAAAATACAGGTATGTGTATTTGAATAATGTCCACTGTAGTCTGTAATAAAAACAATTCATCAAACATCTAAAGTATAAAATGTATAAAGAAACAATTCACACACAGCATTAATCATCTCAAGTCTCATCTTGTCCACCTACCTTACCAACAGAGGGGAACCCGATGAGCGCAACACGAGCATCTCCTGACTTCATCACATCGAAGCCCTCACCTTTGGCCCCCGATGACTTGGAGGGCTCCAGAAGCTGAGCTCTGTATTTGGCTAACTTGGCCTTCAGCAAACCTAGATGGTACTCGGTGGCTGCAGGGTTGAATAAAAAACAAGTTTGACATAAGTCGCATTTATTATGCATCACCTTTGACCTGTCGCGCTTATTGTGAGCTTATTTAATGATCAAAACAGCTTCATTTCGCCTGGGCTGGACGGTGCCATCCGTCCATCCATCCATCCATCGCGGCCGGAGCTGCTAGTTCTCCAGCGTTCCTCCGCCTGCACCAGCTGAGTGAAGCGAGCGCGCACGGGAGGACTCGCTGTCGCAGTTCTTAGAAATTCAAAGCGTCACTCAAAAATTGCGTTATGAATATGGGGAAAAAACATTAAGCAAGTTGCTTCGGACTGACAAATCTCTGCAGAAAACCGCGACTTATACGCCAGAAAATACGATAGTTAAATTACAGCTACTTGTGTCTGAATCCAACAGCTACAACCAGAACTTTTAGTTTTGAGATCAAAATGTGCAGACGACGCATGACTAATGGAGCCTTCAGACCCAGGCCGCCCTTGCAAATAAGATCTGTGATCTCAGTAGGATTGCCAGGTTCATTAAAGATTATTAAATACCATAACATTTTGCTAAATATTACAGTATCGCATGAGCCTGTACCGTCATTTAAGAGGCTACAACTCCATCTCTTCTCTTCATAAGATGATTTCAGTTTGAACCCGCTACATGAAAGGAGTTGGGCGATACGCATTCCTATAACAAATGCTACGCCTTGCATTGTTAATATTCATAAACAGCATTTGTCTGAGAGGAGAAACTTGTTCTAGCAAAGCACTGGGGTCCTGCTTGGGGGCACCCGGTGTGTGGTCAGCTGATTGTTGTCTTTGTCAAAACCAAAGCTACAGATGTGAGCGGTACAGTGTTTTGATCGCACAAGTGAGAAAATATGGAACAATGAAAACATGCGATAGTCACTCCTGCGCTCTACCAGTCCATCTACTGGTCATTTCTCAGTTTTGTTACTTCTTATTGGCCGTGGAGGCATTTCAGGATACACCTTTTTTTTTTTTGTTGTTGTTATAATGCATCTTTATACAAGGTTT